ACTGAGAGGATTATATATAGGCAATGTCTCAGCCTCACAATCCCTCAGAGTATTGCTGTTTTCACGAGGCATACCTAACTTTACTAAAAGACTCATTTCGTTTATTTACATGGAATTTAATTATACTTAGACTTAACCTAAGCGTTTAACTACTCTAAGGCATTAATATCGCCTTGATAGATCGGATCTTACATCTCCAGCATGTAGAAGAACCACTGTACTCTCACCCGTCTCTGACACAACACCTGATGTTCCCCATGTACACACCGGCTAATCACGCTGTAGAAGTACTACTTCCAAATTTTAATCCAAACCAAGTCATCGCGCTTGTTGTTTCTGCCTATGATACTTTTGATTTAGGCTAGCCAGCACACACATACCGAGTGTATCCGTGGTCTGGTGCGGTATTTGATCACCCCCAACCTTGCACCTCAACCGAATTATGAAGGATAACCTGATCACCGGTATTTCGTACTCTGTACTAATCCATTCTAAGGCACTACACGGCGCAGACCCGATCCGTACCACAGAGGTGGGTTTGTTACTTAGTAGGTCAGCAAGCGAATACATGGAACAGCGCATATCCTCTATCGTCGACAAACTTTGCCCAAGCTTCAAACGGGAATTTACTGACCACCCCTTCCCATCGATCTTTCCCGAATTAGTACAACGGCTATGAGAGACATATATTGTAACTTTTTCTTTTTAAATAAATAGTATTATCCCTATATATTGAACATATGATAGAGAACTGATGATGTTAGAGTAATGATTGCGCAATAAAATGCAGCATCGGAAATGTATCATCAGAAAATGTCAGCGATATAAATATACACGATACTTTTAATTATAGAAATATCAATTAGAATTGTACCACGTACGCACATATTTGATGATACAGGGAGATGGTTTTACATACTATGGCTGTGTCATTATAGCAGAATTTGATCTCAGTCGAACACACTCAAACCCTTGTACATCAATGCTTTGGAACATCTAGCAGCCGTTCATGTAGTGGCTTTCTTTGGACAATTCTGGAGGGGTACACTGTTACAATAAGCTGTGATAATAACGTCGCGTGCCAGGTACTGACAACTAGTCACTCGGAGGCAGTGGGAATGCATCGTTCGCTTCAGTTGCTGGCTCTAATAGGAGTCCACTATGATATTCATGTACAAACACAGCACATCGCAGGAGCCGACAAAACAATGGCGAAAGCTACTTCAAGAGAGGCGTGGTCAGAGTCAAGACATCTATATACCAATATGAAGCAGCAGGCCGAGGTAATTTATCGCTTCGTTCGAAGAGGCGAGACAGGATTTCAGCAATGCCACGTGATGTATCAAGCCGAGATGGATCTAGCAGTCACACAAGATCATCAAGAAACCCAAGTGCATACTAATTAGGACAGCAAAGAACTACAAGTACATTACTTATATATTGAACACTGTACATACATATATGTACGTATTAGTCACTTATTTGCCACTGTAAATAAATAAATTGTTCTGATCTAAAAACTCAGTATGCTCACTTGGCCACGCACGTGAAAAATATATATAAATATATATGTTTTTATGAATAAATAAAAAAAGGAAAAATAAAAGGCCCCCCTCACCATCCCCCAATAAATATTTTCAGATATGTTTTTGAGTCTCTGGAATTCGGGATTCTGGAAACGAATCTCATCTTGGAATCTTGGATTCTTGTTGTAAACACTATTTAAAAAAAAAAAAAGTAAAGTCTGCGACTGCGATTTCGTGCACCCCCGCTAAGCAATGTTTTCTGGTCAAAATGACAAAATACCTGAGTGCCAGGCTAATAAATACAAAAAACAAAACAAAAAAACAACACCTGTCCAACAAAAGTTACAAAACTCCTTATTGTTTTCTAAAAAGAAATATATATTTTCATTACAATAGAACAAAAACAAAAATGTAAATAAATAGGTCTTTTGTGTCAAACAATACAACTGTCAATCTGTGAGAGACATTGAAACAAATTCAAGGAGACCTGTGAAGGCTGACGGCTGAAGCCTGAAAACATTTTTAAAATAAATAAATTTTTGTTTTGTTAAAAACAAAACAAGAAACAAAAATAAGCCCTGTTCAATTTTATTTAACTATTTTATTTTTAAAAATAGAGGAGGGCACTCTCACTCTGGTGGGCACAAATATAGTGTATGTTTTAAATAAAAAACAGTATTATTTAGTAGGCTATGAAAAAACAAAAATAATAAACAAACAAGTTTAAAAAAAATAAATACCAACCCATGACTCGTCATTTTGTTTTTTTACCCCACAACATGATATATTTTGATTATTTCAACGAAACAAAATCAAACCAAATACATCCTGTAGTCAAATGGAAATCTTTAAAATATTTAGAGAAAAAGACAATAACCCAATTTCACTAAATAGTGAAGCTCGTACGTTTGACATCCATTTAGAACATCAATCTGAAACAGACAATCCTGCACGGGTATGGTTGAGACACACCAATGATTTATGTGTTTACACAATATACGTGTCAACATATACGCACACATACACACACACGCACATACACACACACACACACACACACACACACACACACACATTACAC